TATAGCCATTCACAAGGGAGAGTAGGGAGTCTTTCCCATTTGCTGCAGGTCGGAAAAAGAAAAAAATCTCAAGTAGCCTAGCCTGAACTGCATGCCTAATTAATAAACTTACCAGTGCAGCTCAGGCAGAGTGTGTGTGTGCACACTTGTGTGCATGAAGTGCTCTGGTTAACACAGCTTGGGTTGGCTGTCCATCCCCACACTCAGGATGGGAGAGCTTGACTGCTAAGAAACCTTGTGGTTGGAGGGGATGAAGACGACTTTCCTAAAGGAAGCAGGTGACACCTACAGAAGAAGGAAAAGAAAGGTGCCAGGCAGTTTACAAGATGTCTACCCCTGCATTGTTCCATTTACCAATATCCTTAAGTATACAGCAATGGAATGAAATCGCTCCGTGGCAGACTACTTTCTCCTGCTTTTGTTAGACTGGCTTTCAGGAAGCATTCTGCATCTGTCATATAAACCCTGACAGATATTGATAAACACCAGGCATTTTCGCTTTAGTTCATGCTAGACCTGGAAAAGAGAGCCTCTCTGCTTGCCGAATGAGAGCCAGCATGCCATCCCCAGCCAGTTCTTCCTCTGCCATGTTAGCTTTTCTTTCTCCCCTGGCGGACTCTAGGCTCCTTGGGGATAAGACTCATGCCTTATTTCTAGTTGTCTTTCCAGCACATGGCATGGAACCTGGCACATAGCTGATGCTCAAGGAGTGTTTATTAAGGAAATCAATGAGTAAGTGACTAGGCCAGCAGCAAAATGGATGGATTCACAAGTATTGTGTTGTTATGCTCTCTGGGGTCATGTCCTAGGGCTGGCCATGTTGCCAACTGATGCCATCAGTGGGAAACTAATCAAGCATTAAGGAGTAGGCCTGGCATGACCGCGTGGACCTTGCATATGAGTTTGAATGCATATTCATATGAGCCTACATGCATGATTAACTTGGGAAGCTGACAGGAAGCAGTCAATCTGTTGAGCAAGTTTGGGTTTTATAAACCAGATGTTCAGTATTATTATTCATCATTTCCTTTGATACCCGAACGGTCCCCATTATGTAGCATGGGAAATGAAGGATATGGAATAATATACACTTATTATACAACAGAGCACCACAGCCACAGATTTCGGAGTCCTACTCAAAGCCTGGGCAAGTGTAAGTGCACAGCAGTTCATTTTGAGATTCCCATTTGGACTTGAGTTAATGGGATTTTGCCCAGATGGACCATCGTGACCCCCATCTCCTGCTCCTATCCCTTGGAAAATGAATGTTGACTCTACATCTGCGTTTTTCTTGGAAGCCAGATGTATGAATCATAAGCAGTGCTCTTGCCTCAGTAGCAGCTACAGGTTGGGGGGCCACAGAAAAGCAGGGACCCCCTAGTGTGTTGGGAGACAGAGGGTTTCTGGCCCTGGTTGGCTTCATAACTTCTGCTTGGTGGTCTGGGAAAAAGAAAAAAACTTGCCATTGACTGCTATTTCCTATGGCAAGAGTATAGAATGCCTTTCAATCATAAAGTGCTTACAGTATAAATGAACTTGCAAATTGATGTGTTTCTCCAGGAAATGTTTAAGATTCACAGAGTCCAGACCTGTGGGGACTGGGAATGATGGAGCTGGTGGGTGCAGAAGAGAGTCTTAATTTTCTGCAAATGGTATTTCCGTGTTCCTGCCAGCCCTTGTTGCCATGATGATGAACTGGTATATATAGGAAAGCCTACGGGTGAGGGTTCTGGCCAAGCCAATTCAAATTGGGGCCAGAACTACCCCTAGGAGAGGTCCATGAGATCATTGGCCCATATGTGAACTGTTGCCAGACTGAACTCACTGCATTTCCTTTGTTTACCTGGGGCTGGTTACAAATGAATGGTTTCAGTACAAATGCAATATTATGGGTTTCTTATTTAAAGTAATGATGCAGTAATTACATTTGGAATTAGCTCCTGAGTGAAGTTGATACTATATTCTGGATTAATATTTTGAAGTTAGTTTCTCATAATCTTGTCTTTGTGCCAGGACAATCACTAGTGATTTATAACTGATTTTTACTGGTTGGAGGAAAAAGGCTTCATTTCTCATTATTGTCAACGATATGTTTTGATTTCATCCATGATACATGTTGGCACTGCTTGAAATTTGATTTGAGTTGCAAAGTGGAAGTTGTCCAGGGTTATGGATCAGCTCAAATCAGTTTTCTTTATAGCATTAACAATTAATCAAGGAGTCAGAATATGGGAAGACTTCTAATTCTAAGAGAACTATTTACCGTGGGCTGGTTCTGCCTTTGAAAATGTCCTTGCAGGTTTCCAATGGTGGCCATAGTATGCTTTGAGTATTTTAAGCAAGATTTTAGAACCATGTTCCCCAAAACTGTTATAGACTGTATATACTGGTTGACTTGGTTCATGGCAACACTAACAGTCAGCATCACCTCATAGTTAATATTTTTTGGTTGTTATATTGATGAATTAAATTTTGTTTACATATTCTTACACCCAAATTAGGATGCCCAAAATAATCACTTACATGATTAGCATGTATATTATTAGTCATGTTTCTCTAGAGATATCCTATAGAGCTAGAGATAGGCTATACAGATAAGGTGGGGAAGAATTTAGTTTAAGGAATTGGGTTACGCAATTGTGGGGCTGGCAAGTCTGAAATCTGTAAGGCAGGCAGGCTGGCATGCTGGAAATTCCAACAAGAGTTTATGTTGCACTCTTGAGTTTGAAGGCAGTCTACAGGGAGAATTCCTTCTTTTGAGGGGGGCCTTGTCTTTTATTTTAAGGCCATCAATGGATTGGATGAGACCCACCCACATTATGGAGGATAATCTTCTTTACTCAAAGTCTGCTGATTAAAATGTTAGTCACATCTAAAAAAACACCTTCCTAGCAACATCTAGACTGATAGTTGCTCAAACCACTGAGCACGATGGCCTTGCCAAGCTGACACATAAAATTAACCATGTCACCATGAGTTCCCAGTCCTAGATAGACCAGGAGAGTCTTGCTTCGTTTTACTTGTCATGGAGGAATATAGGCCTATCTTGATATCAATGTAAAACTAATAAAAACATGGCCCCCTCCACCCCTGTTGGGATATTTTTTCCAACACCTGCCAGCTTCTCTTAGCTGTCATGATTATTGATGGAAATGAAGTGGAAAGGATTGCCCTATACCAATGCTTCTTGCATTTTAATATACATACGAATCATGAAAATAATTATGCACCTTCAGAGTGTTTGGTATGGGGCCTGAGACTATTTCTAACAAGCATTTAGGTGCTACAGGTGCTGCGGTCCTGGGTACTGCATTGTAAGTAGTGACATCCCACAGCTCTCATAATCTATTAGAAGAACAAGGCAAAAGAAAGACTAAGTTTAATGACCTTTACTCAAGTGACCAGCCAGTCAATGGGGGCTTCAGATGCTTAGATTTTAGGATCTTCTCTTTATAATGCCTCTTCCCAAGGAGATTGAGGGAGCGACACCTGATTATTCTGTGGAACGAAAGCTATGGAAGAGAAGTGTCCAAACATCAGAAAACACACTAGGTTGAAGATAGTGGATTCTGGTTCACAGATTGCTTCACTTGGGGGCTTGAACAGCCTGTGAAGCCAGAAGGACTTGCCTGGTCAATTTTGGTGCCTGTCAGCGGTGCCTCCAGCCTTAATCTCATTTTGGACTCTGCTACTTACTAGCTGTGTGACCTTGAAGGCAGGGAAAAGAAGCTGGCATCCTTTGAGCACTTCCATATGCCAGGTACCATGCTGGGCAGTTTTCTATTTTGTCTTCATGGCAACAGTGCCCATTATTTCATATGAGCACGTGGAGACTTCACTAGTGCCGTTAGGAAAGATTCAGAGCTGAGATTCAGAACCAGATTTGTCTTGGGCCAAAGCCTACCATGTTCTGAGACTCTGTTTCCCTATTTGTTTGGGACAGAGTAGGGGTTCCTGCCTGTCTCCCAACACTGTGTGAAAAGCAGGTGCAATGGTGTGTCTCCATGTGTCTGTAACCCAATTCAGAGGTTTAAAGACACGGATTACATGCTGTATTTCAAGGGCCACTCTTTTCATTTATTTATTTATTTATTTATTTATTTTTTTTGAGATGGAGTCTTGCTCTGTTGCCCAGGCTGGAGTGCAGTGGCGCTATCTCGGCTCACCATATGCTCCGCCTCCCAGGTTGCCTCAGCCTCCTGAGTAGCTGGGACTACAGGCGCCCGCCACCACACCTGGCTAATTTTTTGTATTTTTAGTAGAGACGGGGTTTTACCGTGTTAGCCAGGATGGTCTCCATCTCCTGACCTTGTGATCCGCCTGCCTCGGCCTCCCAAAGTGCTGGGATTACAGGCATGAGCCACCACGCCTGTCCTCAAGGGCCATTCTTATAAGAGAAATGATGACCTTCTTCATCATGATTTTAGAAGTCAGATGATAAAGTTATTATTTAATTTTGGTTTTGTTTTATTTGTTTTCCATCTGGGACTGGCATTCAGAGACCCAGAGAGGTAAAAGGACATTGACTGGCTGCCTTGGAGGAAATAAATGCTTCCAGATTCTGTCGTTTTTAGCAGGGGCAACTCACCAGACCTTTTATGCACATGCTTTCTGATCCTCAATATTTAGATTAAGGAGAAGCACTCTTATGAAACATAAATGTCTGGGAGGTAAAATAGTAAAATAAACCTGTGCCAATAAAATAAAAAGAACCAGGAAGATCCAAGCAAGGCTCTGTTTGAACCAAAGTGGCTGAAAGCAGAGAACAGATCTGCTGGAGTGACTAACGACAGCTGATTTGTTTCCCCAGCAGGGGGCTGGGACTGTCCTCTGCAAATCCAGGAGATATGCTGTGCTCACTGCTCCACTGAAGGCTTGGGTAGGCACTGGTCCATCTCAGCAGCCCCTGGTCTGGAAAGGACATGATTGTCAAGGGGGCAGCCTCCAGAACTGTGGTTTCCAGACCATTCCGTGGTAACTGGCTTTTCTCTTCCATCTAGCTGACTGATGATCAGGGCCCCGTCCTGATGACCACTGTAGCCATGCCTGTGTTTAGTAAGCAGAACGAAACCGTGAGTACAGTGGCTGAGCTTCCTGCTTGATGCTAGGAGGGTGGTTTTCTCAGACCCCCTCTGACTCCAGCTCTGGTGACTTTTGATTTTTAAGCATAGGATGTATGTCATTTTTCCTTATTGTTTGATCTTGCTGTTAGAATCACCAAATCAAAGACAGATGAGAGGAACCCAGGCTGGCGTCATTTTGGAGTTCGCAGCACCTTTCCAAAGTTTAAGTGTTAGAGGACCAGAGGAGAAAAAGCCCCAGAGACCATCCTTGATTGTGGTGCACTGACCACTCTCATTTATAGTTACCAGCCTTTTATTTGTTTCCTAGGGCTGTTGGGAACGAAGTGCCACAAACTGGGTGGCTTAAAAAATAGAAATTTCTCCTCTCACAATTCTAGAAGCTGGAAATCTGAAATCAAGATATCGGCAGGGCCATGCTCCCTCCGAAGGTTCTAGGGGAGAATTTCTCCTTGCCTCTTTCAGCTTCTCCGGGCCCCAGGCATTCCTTGGCTTGTGGCAGTGTCACTCCAATCTCTGCCTCTGTTTTCATGTGACCTGTTCCTCTTATGTGTTTCTCTGTGTCCTTCCCTCTTGGAAGGAAATCAGTCATGGGATTTAGGGTCCACCCTAAATCCAGGATGATTTCATCTCAAGATCCTTAATGATTACATATGCAAAGATGCTATTTCCAAATAGCATTATATTCTCAGGTTCTGGTTGGACATGAATTTGGGGGGACACTGTTCAACCCACCACAAAACCTTAAAAAATACAATGGCCTTTCTGACATTGGAAGGTTTTAGCAAATCACAATGGTTACATGCCTTGGAAAATGGGGCTCTGGAGGCCTATTCCTTCACCCTGGTCCTCGGTTGGTAAAAGTGTTAGGGTTATTATATATTTCTCTGGCTATTTAGTCTCTCTCTCCTGGGCACCAGATGGCAGTGTAAATGGAGAAAGCAGTTAACATACTGTCTTTCCTGTAAAAAGCTTTCATAAGAGAAACTGGTGAATGTTTAGAGCCTTTAGCTGCTGAAACTCTTGTGTTTCTTCAAATCAGTGTTTAATTTTCAAGACAGGAGAGGGAAGCTATTATAGTGTCTTGGTAGGAGTATGCGTTGGGGACTGTGGTAGTTAATGGTTGGCCTGAGAAGCTCTCATTTTACCCAGTAACATTTTAGGTAGAGGGTGGGGGATAGAAGAGACCGTTCTTGGAGATATGGGTTAATCTTCAGTCTCTATCAGTTTGGGGAAGGCACCAGGCAGACGGTATGTGACTTCTCATGAGATTTTGTTTCTTTTGCCAAGTTAGCTTACTGTTACTATAATTCAATGTTTATTTTCGACAGAGATCGAAGGGCATTCTCCTGGGAGTGGTTGGCACAGATGTCCCAGTGAAAGAACTTCTGAAGACCATCCCCAAATACAAGGTAATGAATGACCTAGTCACTCTCTGAAATAAAAGCAACAGAGACACCCAGAGCCTTGTTTTCACAAAATTTAGGCTTCAAACTCTACTTTGGAGCGATGTTTTTGCTCACCACTATTACAACCTGTTAGCTTGTCTTTGTACCATCTGCACGGTTATTTAAAAGGTTTTTTTTTTTTTAATTTACAATGACTTGCTGTTTTTCTTATTTATCTCCTCCAACCTCAGTTTAAAGAATCAATGTTATATCGTAAGTTTTGACGTGATCATTGAATTTTTCTGATACACACACGATACTGACGTGACTGGTTTGCCTTTTAAAAAGATAGTCCAGAGAGTTCTTAGACCCCGTCCAGAAAACTCTCCTATTTCCTAGTGGGCACTCTTTGGAAAAACAAATCAAAAAGTGGGAGGGGGATGCCCTTGAGGCACAACCCAGGCACACAGCACTGCCCAAGAGTGCTCTGAATGTAGGCGTGAGCATGTGCATGCCAGAGGCATCAGAGAGCAGCCTCCACCAGATCTGGTTGATTCCTGCACAGGGGCAAACACCACATTCACCCTCTCATCCCCCAGCACCAAGCAGACTGGCTAGCTGGTCTCCATTTCTGGCCCACTCAGATTAACGAGGGTTCTCTTTGTCTCCATCTAAAGGGAGCCCAGGAATCAGGAATTATTGGCTGCCAAGGGCTTCTTTCTTAGCACCACCCTCCCTGATATACTGGGGCCTGATTCACCACAGCTGTCTAGGGGGACCTAGGCTTTCCTGGGCCTCGGGTGGAGGCAGGCAGTGGTTAGAGCTTGACTCTGCAAGTTCCTGGCTCCATCATTGATGAGTTGGGTATGGACAAGTCCCTCCTATCCCTCGTTCCCCATCTGTCGATGGTGACCACCAGCTTCATCCACCAGGGCTTTTGTAATTGGTGTTAAGTTCCCAGAGGCATGAAAGGACATTTCATTGATCCAAACCCATAATAAATGTTGGAAACTGTAGTTCCTGAGAAATTGAAAGTCAAGGATGGAGATAAGGGCAGACTTTGAGGCCCCTAAAGATAGTGGACTTTACTTTTGATGAAATCACGAGACCTAGGTGTCCAGAACTGCTGGCTCAGTTTCAGAAAAGGCATCCCACCTGTAGAGAACATTTCCAAACAATTCTTGAGCCTCTTATTTCACATGAGGAGATTTAGAAACCTAAGCACTGGGCCACTACTTGATACGTGTCCAATAAATCAAGAAAGAAGGAACATAACAAGGAACCAGTAACAATTATCCTTTGTGTCAGTTTCTCCAAGCTTCCTCTAGCAGGCAATGTGCAGAGCTCTTTATGGCATTATCTTGCTTACTAATTAGACATTACAGTCACCCCCATTTTATAGTTAAAGAAACTGAGGCACGGAAAGCTTAAATATCTTGCCAAATCTCACATCTTGCAAGCAGGAGAACCATGACTTCCCCCCGCGCCCCCCCCCCTTTTTTTTTTTGAGACGGAGTCTTGCTCTGTGGCCCAGGCTGGAGTGCAGTGGCACCATCTCAGCTCACTGCAACCTCCGCCTCCTGGGTTCAAGCGATTCTTCTGCCTCGGCTTCCTGAGTAGCTGGGATTACAGGTGCACACCACCATGCCTGGCTAATTTTTGTCCCTTTAGTAGAGATGGGGTTTCACCATGTTGGTCAGGCTGGTCTTGAACTCCTGACTTCGTGATCCACCCACCTCAGCCTCCCAAAGTGCTGGGATTACAGGCGTGAGCCACTGCGCCTGGCCAAGAACCATGATTTTAACCTCTGTAACCATAGCGCTACCAAGAACAATAAGAGCAATGACAATTGTAATAATAATAATTGAAATAAAATAATAATAATAACTAAAATACACTGAAACATTTATTGAACTTCTTACTATGTGGTTGGTATCATCCAAAGTACCTTATATGCATTATTCCTATTGAATTCTTACTATATTCCCATGAAGTGGGGACCCTTTGACCTCATTTTTACTTAAGGTTGCTTGAAATAACTTTCTCAACATCATTCTGCTAGTAACAGATGAAGGAAACAAAGCATGGGAATAGAGGAAGAAGATCAGCTATAGAAAATTAACCAGCAGTGCTTGAAATGCAGGCATGTGTGTTTTGTGCTTTTCCAAGGGTCAAGCTGGGAACCAGAGATGTAGATGTGGCGTAAGTTAACCTAGGGCACCCTTCCCTCTGGTTCCCACACAGAGCCTTGTGAAAGGGGTGTGTGTCAGCCAGGGACAGCCATGGCCAAATGGGCCTCTCTCATCCAGGAGAGGAGAGCTCCAGGGAGCAGAGTTCAGGTCGCACCTTGCCCTCCTGATTAACACCTTGTAAAGATGAGTCAGCTCTTGGCTCTTGGGGTTTTCCCAGAAGATAGAATTCTTTCTTTCTCCCTTAGCTTCATAGATTTTCCCACAAGCAATCAGACTTTCTGTAATTTTTATTAAGAATTCCAGACACCCCAGCAATAATTTCCAGACACCACGACCTCTATTAACATAACGAGCCATTTTATAATTGGGTTCACTTCATTAGCCCAGTCTCTCCAGTTGGAAGGGAAGTGCCTCCTTTCCCCAGGCTGTTGGACCATGCGGCTCCTGGCCTCCAGGAGAACATGCCTCTGGTCCAGGGCCCCTTTGGCAAGCCCAAGTACTGGAAGGCCTTGTGTCCGATCTGTTCTCCATTACTCCATGGGGCTGTACATTAGAATGGATGGGAAGACTGGCTCTATTTTCGATGAAACCAAAGTTAGCGATTTCATCAGTGTATTGATTTGTGGCCAAAAACTAATGCTGGATGTTGTCATATAAGCTTTTAATTATTTGAGAGACTCATCCACAGAATGTGTTGTATTCTGAGATGTGGTCAGAGCTGCCCTTCCTACGTCTGTTAGGATATAGCTATATGCCATCAACCAACACAAAACATTCCGATGTTATTTTCTCAGAATGCTTACCTGGGGAGGATTTTAACCAGTTTCTGAATATCAGGAAGACTTTCTCAGGCACAGGCTTAAGAAGAACTGGCTGTGCATCTGCTGGAGCAAATCGGCTTCTCCTTTCCAGCTCATTTTTAATATTTAGTTGGAATTTTCAAGATGAGCTTGGTAATATTTGAGTAAAACGGTAAATGTCTTAAAGACACAAACTAACTGAATGCCTCCCACGTGCCTGACTTTGTGCTAGGGACTGTAGAAGTCAAAGGTAAGTGAGGTGGCCCCTTTCCCACAAAGAGCTCATTCTGATGGAGGAAGTACTACCTCCAGTTATTTCTGTTTTCTTTTCTTTTCTTTTGTTTCTTTCTTTCTTTTTCTTTTTTTTTTCTTTTTTTTTTTTTTTTGAGACAGGGTCTGGCTCTATTACCCAGGCTGGAGTACCTGTGGCGTGATCTGGGCTCACTGCAACCTCTGCCTCCCAGGTTCAAGCGATTCTCCTGCCTCAGCCTCCAGAGTATCTGGGATTACAGGCACCCACCATCATGCCTGGCTAATTTTTATATTTTGTATTTTTAGTAGAGACGGGGTTTCACCATGTTGGCCAGGCTGTTCTCGAACCCCTAACCTCGAGTGATCCACCCACCTCAGCCTCCCAAAGTGCTGAGATTACAGGCGTGAGCCACCACGCCTGACCACCTCCAGTTCTTTCTAGGACAAATCAGAGTACGGAAAGAACTACGTAGGGTTGAGAGGCAGAAAAGTGAGAGTACCTTTTTTTTTTCTTTGAGCCTCATTCTGTTCCCCAGGCTGGAGTTCAATGGTGCAATCTCAGCTCACTGCAACCTCCACCTCCTGGGTTCAAGCAATTCTCCTGCCTCAGCCTCCCAAGTAGCTGGGATTACAGGTGCCCACCACCATGCCTGGCTAATTTTTCTATTTTTAGTAGAGACGAAGTTTCACCATGTTGGTCAGGCTGGTCTCGAACTCCTGACCTCAGGTGATCCACCTGCCTTGCCCTCTCAAACTGCTGGGATTACAGGCATGAGCCACTGTGCTTGGCCAAGTATAGCATTTTTAGGTGCTAGGGTAAATATAGTGATGATGGTATGGAAAGGACAAAGCAAAGTGCAGGTCAGGAGAGCCTTTTTACAAGAGATGAGCTGAGGATGAGCTTATAGCATGGGTGAGGATTAGCCACAGGGAGAGAGAAGGAAGGGTTCCTTGGGTAGCTGACACTGTGCGAGTAAAGGTCTGGCTAGGAGAGAAAATTGCAGGGGGATTGTTGTTGCCGTATGCTTTGAGTGACAGTGAGTGAAGGGAGGCAGGGTTGGGTACTCAGGCAAGGGCCAGATCCCAGGGAGACCTGATGGACAAGCCTGTGGATCTGTCTTACACATGGAAGAGGTTGTTAGTGGCTGTTACAAAGGAAAGCGACATGGTCAGAGTTACCTTTGACTTGGATCAACCTGGAGGATGGTTTTGTTGGGGTCAAACTCTGAGGCAGGAAGAGCAGTGAGGACCATTGTGGAAATTTATTGAATTAATATAATAGTGGGACAGTTGGGTAGCAGGATGGAATTGGAGCAAACCTGGAGAAAATCATTAGTAGGATTTCATACTACTGATGCTGTAGTTTCTAACTGGGGAGTCTGTGTGTATGGTGGTGCTGCCTACTGAGAGAGAGAGGAGGAAGAGCAGCTTTACAGAACTCCGCTGTGACTGGATGAGTCTGAGGTGTCAGAGGGATGGCCAAAAAGAGATGACCACTACTCTGTTGGATACTTGGTTTGCCACTGAAGGGAGAGATCGAGGCCAGAGCGTGGATCTGGGGAACAACAGCACAGATGTGGTCACTGCAGCTTATTGAGAGAGAGGAGAGCTAAGGCAGACAGTGGGTCCTGGGGACAGAATCTTAGGGAAAATGAATACTTGAGGAATGGGTGAAGGACAAAGATCCTGTGAAGAGGAGGAGGCCCAGGAGTGTGGGACCTGGAAACTGAGGGAATAGTGTCGAGGAAGAGGAAGCAATGGGCTAAGAAAAGTAGGAAGATTTGAGGGAGAAAATCCTGTAGGGTTTGGCAATGGAGAGGCCTCTGGCAATCATAGAGAAAGGGATATCCATGGCATATTTAGTGGTGGAGGGAGGGAAAAAGCAGAGTGCAGTGGGTTGAGGCATGAAGGGGCAATGAGGAAACAGAGATGGCAGTTGGTTAATGAATGCGGGACATTGGCATGGGAAGATGAGCTCAGCTTCTGCATTCTGGGGGAGGAAGCACAGAATTTAGCTAAGCTATGTAGAATCTGCACTAAATGCAGTTTCTTTTGTTTCCCTACTTCCACCTTTTTCTCTTTCTTCTTTCCCTATTCATCTTCTCTCTGTCCCAACCACCCCGCCATATATTTTTAACCACATGATAGGACCTTTGCCCTCATGGAACTTACATTCTGGTAGGGGAGGCAGGCATGAATTAATCAAGTCTTGATTACTTATACTCAACCCCACAAATAATAGATTATTATAATTTTGATGAGTACTATAAAAGAAGAGTACAGGCATTAAGAAGAATCCTGCCTTCTTTTGAGTATTGCTTCACAAGCAAAACAAGAATCAAAGTAATGTATATTAGAAGGTGCTGAATACATGAGCTGACTATAAAATATTACTTGTTTTGTTTGAGATTGAATTCCCAATCAAATACCATTTTTGTCTTGAATGGAAAAAGCCAAACTCTCAGAGTTTTTTTTTTTTTTGACCCCTCCAGTCCATCTTAAACTGAAACATAATAATGGTAATTAATGCAGTGTTGACTGTCTGACATTTTTCCAAGAGACAAGATGAAAGAGATGATATACATCTCAAAGGATAGGAAATCTCTGGTTTATCTTTCACAGCATAATGAAATATACTTTTATCATTAGAGTCAAGTAGAATCTTATTAAGACTTGCTGTGCAAGGTAACTCCAGGAGAAGATGTCTGTTGCCCTTGACTACCACGTGCATATTTGCTTTATGTAATGCAACGGAAACTTTTAATTGCCAGTGTTAAATTCTCTGAAGTTAATTTCACATCACCTTGACGTTAAGCTAACAAGCAGACAGGGTCATTCCTGGTTTGTAAACTCTGTTGTCTGGATCATTTAATAGTATCATATTCAAGAATGTGAGTGGCAGAGAATTTAAAGAAAATTAACAGTGGGGCTCAGAACTGTGAAATAACTCCTCAGAAAAAAAAATAGAGAATTTCTTTTTTCTTCTCCCCTTTCACTGCTCTGGCAAAACTGGGTTACATTTTCTTTCTTCAGAGAGACAGATCAGTATGGGTTTTATGCCAGAGGCCGTTTTAATACATGAATGATTTGTAGGTAAATTTATTGTAGCCAATGGGTGCAGTCAACTGTGTAATAGAAATATTGTCAAAAAGCCGGGATTATTATTTAAATAAGTGCAGTGTTAAATTTGATTACATACTTTTTAAAGCTAATAAAACATTTCATTGCTCACAAACTATTTCCCATAGTCTCATTTAGTCAGAAAACATAAATTAAGTGAGGCTCTGCATAGAAAATTACCCAGGCTTTGTGTTGATGGAAGCATGCATGGAAAAGCTAGGCAACCACACAATTTGAAGACGAAAGGGTATGAAAAGGGTTGCCAGGCTCCTGTGTAGGCTGGGGCATGGGGACACTTTGTATTTGAATCATGATGGAAAATGACAGCCTAGGGGAGCACCAATTTGAGATGGCCCCTGTGGGCATGGAATTATAGAAAGTCTAGAAGTGAGGCAGCGTGGGGACCCCGCTTTCTTTATTACAGGCAGAGAGAAGACACCTCCATTGATAAGGTTCTGTGCACTTAGACATAGGGTCTTTCCAGAAACATTAGCCACTTTCTTGTTAAAAAAAAAAAAAGTAATTGTTTTTGTTTTAAATAAATCAAAATAAAGCCCTTGGATGCCAATGTGGGGATGTGACATTTTAAATTGTGCTATTTGTTGAGCTTATCCTGTGACAGGTCTTCATTTCCACCAAATGTCAAGGATCAGTGCCTTGCATTCATTTTAATGAAATATTGTGCTGATAAGGGTTATGAATGCCAAGTTTAAGCTGTAAATTACTAAATGCCGGGCTGCTTTATGCTTTGTGAATTCACCAGGGAGCAAGCTAATGAAGGTTTCTTTCTTGCTTCCTCTTACAGTTAGGGATTCACGGTTATGCCTTTGCAATCACAAATAATGGATATATCCTGACGCATCCAGAACTCAGGCTGCTGGTAAGAGAAATTATGTACTTCTGCATTTCTGCTTTTATGATTTTGAAAGATTTCCTTCAATTCAACGAGGATGACACTTTGCTGCAGTTTTCACTTTTCAAAAACTGTTCAATTCATAGCATTGTAAAGATCGTTATAGAGTTTATAAACTGGTATTTTGACACATAATATATAAATAACATTGGATAAATATATTTACCATGATGCTTTTGTATATAAAGCCATATATGTCTATATGCATTTATTTATTTAGCTATCTCACATCTGCCAACATATAGAAAAAATGTTTAACTCTAGACAGCATGAAACCTATCATAATGAGTCCCTTTATGTAATACATGGACACTCATACTCCAGCTCTAGACCCACTTACTGCAAGTCTACTTTGACACAATAAATTAGACCCAAGATCCCTGGAAATTTATTACGATGGGATTTGCCCCCAAATTACATTACTTAAGCCCAGTGCTTCGTGGATAGAAGCTATTCAACAGCTTTTTTGTTAAATCAAAGCAGCTGAGATGTTTCTCTATTTCCTGCCTATGTCATATCCAGTAGCATTGCTTGGTAAACTGATGTGTAAACCACTTTCTTTCTCTCAGTATCATTTGTACTGTCTCTGAAGTGAGTAGGGTTAGGCCAAATCCAAAACAGCCCATGGTAGCATCAACCCACATCCCTGGGCAAGGCTGCCCTTGGAGCATTGGCCATGAGTGTGCCACATGTTTGCCACCCCTGAACTAATTGCAGTGTGTTGAAAAAAGGACATCCCTTTGGGTTTGTGTGTGCTTATCAAATTTTTTTAAAAGATACAGAATTATAAAGAGTAATGCAGTGAACACTGTTTTTTAAAGTTAAGAAAGTGTAGATCATTTTCTTTAGCAATCAGCAAACACACACGCACCTGTATGCACACACACAAATGCATACATACCCATCCACCCCACCCGTCTTTTCCCATTCATCAGAATGAGAAAGTAGCGGCATTGCCTGCTATGCAAATGTTTGTTGGCAAAGCATTGTGGGGACGAGTTCACTTCTCACTTGCATCATTGTTTAGAAACAGTTCATGTGAGAGCTCCATCATCATCTAACTTTACTCTAATCGCCCTGGTATTAATGGAGTCATGACCACATCATGTGGATGCCATATGCATGCTTTAAGATGGGCCTTATGGTAATATTCAATTTCAACAATCTTTTTATCAAAAGAGGACTGAATTAACTAGTTGGCTAATTCCAAATGTAACTCAGAATTATTGAAAAGTCTGATTGAAAAAGTGACTGTCTTTTTAAAGACATTTAAGTCCAAAGACATATTGAAGTTTAAAACTCTTTGCACATTACCCATCTCCAGGTTGCCCAGTTGGCATCATTTGTTGGAAGTAGGAAAAGTTACAAGTTTGTGTGACTGAGTTTGGGCTCCTAATGTGTATTTATTCCAAACTGGAAAGGAACAGAATCAATGAAACAATCAAATGCAAATCTTCTACCAGTAAATGGATTAATTTTCTGTTTATCATTTCCTATCATTTAAAGGAAAAATGAAATGGAATCAGATGTCAGAAGTCACCAAGGTAGCATCCTTCTCTCTGTGGCAATAGACATGATTAGCTGCCCGCCACACAGTCAACTCACAGTGTGAACTGGTCCCCACAGTGCTTTGCCAACAAACATTTGCCTACCAGTCTTTTATATCTCCTGGCCCTGCAGCAAATGGTGTGTTTGTAAATAGTCCATCTGATGCACTCTCCAGAGCTGTGGCCACTGAAAGGGCAGCTGAAAGGCTCTTGGAAAAGCAGACCAACCCCGTCAATGCTGTTCACCTCCTAAGAGTATAGATACTTGTAAACACATGCCATTGCTGTTCTTCTGTTGACACATCAAAAGTGGTAGTGGTTGCTAGGGTGAAAAGTGGTGGTGGTTGCTAGGATTTCGACCACGCCATACATGGGGTGGCCCAAACAAATGCCCCATATTCTATTTATGAGAACCCAAACCATATGAACCATGTTGCAGTTGATCTGTGACAAAAACATAAGGAATGATCAGACCAGTTGGTCATCTGTCCCATTCATCTGTCTCTCACCCTGAGGCTATCAGATACTTAGAAGAAGTTTAGGGTGATACCAGCCATTAAGCATTACATGAATTAACCCATCTGAATGTGGTCAATAAGTGTATGTTGACTCTGACTTGAGTTCTGCATTTTCCTTCTGAGCAGAAGACGCAGCAAAGTGGGAGGGACTCAATTCCAGCATCACACTGTGAAACTCAACTCCTAGTCCCGCTACGTCCACACTATGTGACTTCGGGCAAGTCACACAGGCTCTCTGAGCTGCACTTTTCTTTTGTAATCATGCCATAACCATAGTGCATAGATCATAGCTTGTTGTCAGAGTAAATGAGATAATGCAAGCAAAGGACCTGGTGCAGAAAAGCAGGCCCCAGGATATCTCAGAGGCAGTAGTGGTTATTTGGACATCTTGTTTGTGTTTATTTTCTATTGTTCTGTCCTCAGCTTCTGTAAAGGTTGGAAGAACATGGTGGTAATGGATGCTTAAAGAGGTAACCTAAAGAATACTTTTTGATTATTCAGGTTATTCAGGTTTTTGTGATAGACACTGGGAAGGGATCGTGTACATACACTCTCAGTTTTCTTTTTGGTTCTATGGCAAGCTTGGCCAACTGTGGTCTAGAAGACAAGCAGACAACTTGTACTAGAGGTTCTATGTGAGTTCTACTGTGTGAAGAAACCAAGGTTGTTTGTTTATTTTAAAGGTAACAATAAGAATAATACTAGCAGCCACAGTAGCTAAAGAATGATAGCTAAGAGTCAGCCGGCATGAATATCTGTGGCTCTGGCGTGCACAAGTTCTTCGTTCATCTCTGTTTTGTTCACTTATCCCTGCTTTCCCCCTTCTCCTTCCTTAACCAGCAGCCCCCTCGAGTAGGGACTCAGTAGATGAATAAGTGAAGGGATCCTCTAAAACCAGTTTCATTTTTACTTACTTTAGGTTCTTCTGGAGGGTGTAAATGACTTGTGAACTTACCCTGGAAATCCAGTGTCTTCATGGGGCGTAAATCCACCCTGGCCAGAGCTCTCAGGCATGGCTAGGAACAGCCAGCTGCTAGCAACCTCTCTAACTAGCTCAGGCAGGGAACCTGCATTCAAACTCCATTTGTCTCCTCCCAAGCCCAGCCATCTAATCGAATCCTTATTACAAATGGACGATCCCCTTAGTTCTGGCCAAGGCCACCAGATTAGCACGGTGGGTGTGAGTGTGGGGTTGTAGCCAGCATGGGAAGGACACAACGAGCTGACTTAAAAATAACTCCTATTCCCTCTCCATCTGCCATGGAGTTTGTTTCGGGCCCTCCAGCCAGAGGAAAGAGGTGGGTTTCTCTGAAGCACGATACCAATATTTTTCTAATTTGTCCTATAAAATCTTTCCCCTGAATTTAATGTTTGGCTTGATTTTATCCAGTATTTTCTTTAATCTTGTGTGATTTGGGTGTGAATCATGAAGTGTCTCCAAGAACAGCTCAGACATAGGGGCCTTACTCAGCAGACTCACTTTGGTTTAACTGGCAAAGCTGCTGAAGCAATGCTTCTCTGCAGTCTCTGGGCTGTCCTTAGTCCTCCTCCAAGGGTTTCTCAGCCTCTCTGTCCTCGCCACCAGTTTGTGAATTCCTGATAGATTAACTGATGTTGGTTCAGCAAGCGTTGCCCTTGTGCCTGGTGTGGCTCAGTCCTGTGTTAGACTGAAGACTGATAAAGTAACCTTCAAAGGGTCCAGGGGGCTGCAGCATGAATGGGGACAGACACCTGTTCTCAAGGTGGGGAATGGAACAACAGCGCAGCAAGAGTGATTAAATGCTTTTGATCCTGAGAAATGCTTTTTGGGTTGTGATGACGCCCCTGGAATGTTTGTTTGTTTGATCGTTACCACTCGTTAAACATTCAGGTATGGTTAAGACTAGATTTTGTTTTCTTGCTTTTTATAATTCCTTTGTATTTGAGAGCTTTATGAGTTTTTCTTAGAATGTGGAGCCCTGAATAGATCTCCTTTTCTTTTGCCCAACGGCAGATTGGGTTGAGATTTTGGTCATCCATCTGTCCCTACCTTTTAGAATAAAGGGACAACTAAATTGATTTCCTTCCCCCAGGGAGGAGGTCTGGAATGTGGACCTGGTCAGACCGACAGGAGAACACAAAGGAGGCTCCCTTTCAGCAGCCGCAGCAATGGCAGGGTTCCACCGAGGAGCCTCAGGCAGGCAGGATTTAGGACTCATTTCCATGAAGCCTGCATTGAAATTGGCCAAAAGCTGTTTGTTCTGTGTCTGCAAACCCAGGAGATGGGGAAGGATGCTGTAGAGTTTTCATTCTGGAAGAAAATCTGTCAGTCACATGGGTCACATATGTGGGAGTGGATGAGATGGGAAGTAAAAATGATGGAGAGAAATTCACGTTCATTTCTTCAGAATATACTGGATGTTCACTATGTTGTAGACTTGAGCAAGCTGCTCAGAGAGGTCACAGTGTGCCCTGCCTCAAATAACTCAAATAGGATGGATAAGATATGTGTATCAGTAACTGTGGACAGTAGAGAAGATGCGCTTTTGATTTGTTTGTTGTTGGTGGTATTAGTTTATTTTTCTAATATTCACTGATTCCTTTTTATAGGACAGGAACAATTCTAAGTGTTTCACATGTGTTAATGCTTTTGATCACTGACTAATTGAATAGCAAGCCTAGGATACTATGTGCCTTGGAAAGGCCTAGAGGCTTAAGGGAAGGATGAAGGGAGGGGACGTCCAGGTGGGAGATCCATCTAGCAGCAGCCTGGAGTTGAAGTGAGGACAACTGTGAGTACTGGGCTGAGCAGCTGGGCTTCCCTAAGACAAAGGTAGATATCCCCGTGTTACAGACGAGAAGCTGAGACACTGAGTCATAAGGTGACGTCTCCCAAATCACACAGCTAGAAAGTACCAGAACC